TTTTAGGGTTCTCTTTTAAAAAGTATGACTAAATACTAGTGACATAACAACAGTTCTGTCGATATCAATATAAATAAATGGTTATTTAATTTTTTTTTTACTATTTTGATCAGTGCCTCGTTGACCGAGTGGTTGCAAGTGCGACTGCCGAGCAAGGGGAATCGGGCTCAATTCATGAGTCGGGCAAAGTACTACTGGGTTTTAAAAAAAATCTGTAATTGAGCCCGGTATATGGAAATCAGTTCACCCCCTATTACATGGGACTCATAACATAAATAGTGAAAAGGGATTGTTACATTCTACAGTGGCCTTAAGTGCCGTAATGTAGGTACGCCTCTGTCTACCCATTCGGGATAAAATGCGTGATTTTATTTTACATTTTATATTTGTTTATATTCATTTTTATTTTATATTTGATGGGCCGACGTTTGACCACTATCTCACCTGGTGGTAAGTGATGAAGACGCCTAGATTATACCCTTCAGGAATCACAGGCTCTGATAAAGAATTCCACTCCTTAGCAGTGTACTACTTACTAAATTCAATTAAAAACTCTATATTTATTATTAGCAAGTAATCGTTGTGTAAATAGTCGTTTTTAGTTTTATTTTAATTAATTTTCATCTTAGGTTATAAATATTTAATTTAGTAATAGTTAATATTTATTTTATTTTAGTTTGTATTATCTGTAAATAAAAAATATATTGTAGTTAGTACAAAAAAAACAATCGTTTGATAATAGTCAACACAACCACGGGCAACATCGCACAATATTATTAAATCTCGTTTAAACAACATACAACACGGATTCACTAGAACAGCTTACATTTCGCGCTTGCCAACAATTTTTATGAATTCACGTTGGAAGTACAAAGCGGGATCCATTAGACATAGCGCTCTGGCTTACAATACGTCGTTATTCTGTTATTAGTATGTTACACCCTGTATACCGCGGACATGTAACACTCTGTATATGTGCTGTGATAATAAGAAAACAGTTTATTGGAATGTTTCTTTTAAAGCTAAATGTTTTAATGACAAGAAATGGCTAAAATAAATCGAGGAGTTCAACATTAGACGTTTTCCAACTTATGATAATTATGAATAATAACATAACATTACGTCACGCCTTTTATCCTCGTTAGAGTAGGCAGAGGTGCACATTATGCCACTGTATAATGTAACACCCACTTTTCACTATTTATGTTATGAGGCCTATGTAATAGGGGGTGAGCCTAATGTCATATACCGGGCACAATTCCCGACTCCGTGCTGCTACTGAGTTTGTTTTTTTAAAACCCAGTAATATTTTCGCTAATGTGGGAGAGCCATGCTTCGGCACGAATGGGCCGGTTCGACCGGAGTGATACCACGGCCTCACAGAAAACCGACGTGAAACAACGCTTGCGTTGTGTTCTCGTGTGAGTGAGGTTACCGGAGGCCTAATTACTCCCCCTCCCTAGTCTTCCCAATCCCCCAATCGCCCACAATCTTAAAATTTCCAATTCTCGAAAGTCCACTAAAGCACTTGTAACGCCTCTGGTGTCCCAGGTGTCCATGGGCGACGCCGATTGCTTACCATCAGGTGATGCGTCTGCTCGTTTACCGGCTTATTCCATATAAAATCTTAATTGTCTTAATTTTGACAATCATTTTTTCTGACTCGACAAAAATCGATCACACGTAAGAATCATGCCAGCTTATCCTTGCAGATGACGTATAATCTTATATGATTATGATATGACAATATGTAAGGTACCTATAACTGACGATACCTTTGAAACACAAAACCCTAGTACCTACTATAACCTACTAAGTCACGAAATTACGTTAAAACAGCCAAGTCATCATTAAGTAGGTTTACTTATGTTACTGATGTCTAACCAGTCAGTTATAGCATTTGTGATGTCACATTGATAACCATAATCGTATGTCTTATCACTCGTATTATCATTGTATCAAAATAATACAACAGTTAAGAACCACAACAAATAGACATAAATAAATATGATATCATGTACTATCACGATACTTGCGGTTAAGGATAGGCAAAAAGGGTACATTTTTGTAAAATGAGGATCAAACCCAGATTTTTTTTCTTTTTTAGGTCAGTATGAAGTCGAATTCAAGTCGGGAAAATATATCTATTATTTGAAGGTATCCCGTAATACAATTGGAACTACAAATATCTTGATCATTTTAATCCGATTTATTTCACCATTGCCCAACATTTTGTCTAAGTGCATTTACATTTTAAATGATAAAAATGACCAATAATATAATTTGCAACCGAGACACACAATTACAATTTAATCAACCCTTTTATCTAAACAAACGGTCCAATTGGACCTCCACGATCGAGCTAGCCCATACAATTTTATAACCCTACAACCCACAGCTTGATAGTCATACAAACACTTTTATTTCGGTCTCTGCCGTTATCCCGTAGCTAAAAAGCGTGATACATGGTAAACGACCTTAACAGCTATATCGAAATCCAGCTTTTGAGTGTGTACCTGGCCGTAATCGGGTGACCACGCGTGGTCCAAAGTGTAAGATGTAGCGATTGTGACATTACAACAACTTCTAGTTGAATATTTAGTAATATGACGTCACTAGATGACTGTACGATTTTTTATTAATCCATCTACTAATTGGTGACGAAACTATACCTACGTCTGACTTTGGACGAACCTATTTCCACACGTCAGGAACTATTTCAGGCTCTATGCTGTTGTACTAGTATGTTGTTTAATACAAAAAAAACAACAATACCAAATTAAAATTGACCCTCGAGTTTGGCGCGCTAGTTGGGATACCGGCTGCCACGCAACGTGTCGCGGATTCAAAATTAGGCTAAGGGTTTCCCTAGTATTTTTTTTACTGCATAAAAATCCCTTAAAAGAAAAAATTATCGCATTGGCCTCATCAATCATAATCATACAATTTGAAAGAAACAAAAATATCAATAAATCAATATTTATAATCAAGATTAAATATAGATTAAGTAAGTATGTGGGCTCTGCGCACGGTACCCTCACATTACTGATAACTTTTGCACTTCTTTTGGGGTCGTTATCGTCTTAATATTTACACACAACCCTATTTTGATATGATTTGCATGAACTACTCTATGATTTTACATTTTTATCTCCAATCATTGAACATTACTCATTAGTCATGATTATTTGTAATACCATGACTTTGATATTTTTATACAACAATTTAAAGTTACGGTATACACTAGCCGGGGTATTTATTTTCAATAAAAAAATATTCTGATATGCAAATTAAGTGCATTGCAAGTTTACCCGCTTCAGCTTATGACTTGCGCCTCAACAAAGGTCCAGCCGAAATGGGCTCTCACAGTTTTCAGCGCACATTTGAATGGAAACGACTTTATTCAGATAACTACCCGCGATTTTATCTTGCTATATTTCATGCTCAGATTACGTGCTTGCCTCCCTTTGGCTTTGTTTTTTCGCCGTCAAAACGCCAACGTTGAAACGAAATTAATTGGTTCGATATTTGAATGTTACTGTGTAATTGGATGGGGTTATGTAAGAGGGTTGACGTGTTTATTTTGCGGAAATAAATATACATATACTAAATACGGTAGAAATGTGTAAATGTAATATGTACACAAATATCTGTGAAGTTATAATGACAAGGCAAAATAATATTTACACCGCCGCGCCGTTGGTGAACTTAAACCTGATTCTTACCTCATTGATAAAAATTGTTCGCAGTCATTGTTGTATAAAACACGTATCTATATTAACGTAGTCACGATGACACGAATAATTCACGAGCAGATATAAAGCGCACGCGCTGGGCGCATCCTTCAGTATCGTACTACGGTTCACTATCACACAGTCAACATGCCTCTCAAAATCTACAAGTTGGACGCGAGTCCCCCAGCTCGGGCGGTGATGATGTTAGCCGAGTTCCTGAAGCTCAAGCACGAAGCTGTGGACGTCAACCTGATGACTGGAGATCACCTCACACCAGAGTACTTAAAGAAGAATCCACAACACACTGTACCACTGCTGGAAGATGGTGACTTCTATGTAGCTGACAGTCACGCCATTAACACATACTTAGCCTCAAAATATGGCGGTGCACAGTCAGCGCAGCTATACCCTACAGACCTCCAAGTGAGAGCGACCATCGACTCAAGGCTGTACTTCGACATCTCAGCCATCGCAGGAAACTCGGGTGCTATAGTTAGTGCACTTCTTCGTGGAGATATCACATCCCCCACTAAAGAACAAACCGACAAGCTGAACTCCGCCTATGAAATTTTGGACAAATTCTTACAGAAGACCAAATTCGTGGCAGCAGATCATCTGACAGTGGCTGACATTTCACTGGCAGCTAGTGTATCATCAGCATCCCTTCTGGTTCCTATTGACGAGAAGTACAGTAAATTGACGGCCTGGTTCAACACAATCCAACAGGAGGACTGGTACAAGAAGGCTAACGTACCAGGACTAGAAGGATACAAAGCATTCGTGCAGTCCAAACTGAAGTAGATTGTAATTGTAAGTTCCTATCTATCTGTTTATGTTATTATTTGAACTGAATAAATTATTATTTCAATGTAAAAAAAGGTGTTTATTTTATTTATAAATCGTTGGTTAACCTTGTGTTGGAGCAAAACTGTTGTACATCACTCATTGATGACGTTTTTTATTATAATTACTTTTTTATATTCCAAATTTAATATATTTTTTCTTCATCTCCAGTTTTGTACGTGAAGTTTTGTACCTTGTGTATGCTATCAGAAGACTAGTTACACTGTAGATTTACTTTCTGTTTTGTGTTCAAACCTATTTTCTATCTTAACATTTTGAAACGATTAACATAAAACAAAAATAAAATCTAAAACAAAAGTGTCGTTAAAAATAAATAAATATATATCCCGAAGTCAAACCTCAATGAGTAGTACTTTTTACTTTGAATTAAATTTAGAAACACCTGATATTTTGATAGCACTGTAATCTTACACTAAGTCGATTGTGTAACAATTATCACCATGTCAATACACAACACTGCGATAATAGTTACATATAAGGCCATGGCCATTTATGTTCAGCCAGTACTTCGACCACATAGCAACAGTCACTATGGTCATCAGGATATACAAGAAAGACGCTAGTCCACCAGCAAGGGCTGTCCTGATGGCTGCAGAGATCATCAACTTGAAGTGCGAAATCCAAGATGTTGACTTATCGTCAGGACCACACCTTTCTCCAGAATATCTTGAGAAGAACACTCTACGTTCAGTACCATTTTTAGAAGATGGTGACTTCTACCTGGCTGACAGTCATGCCATCATCACATATTTAGTATCGAAGTATGGTGCTGAACATCGATCGAAGTGGTACCCTTGTGATTTGAGTGTAAGAGCGACTGTGGACCACCGAATGTATTTTGATACTTCTGATTTATTTCCTCATATCAAGAATATTGTGAGTGTGATTGTGACGCAAGGGGTAGGTCCTAATGCTGAACAGATAAAGGCAATTAATGCTGCTTATGAAGTTTTGGACAAATATTTGCAGAAGACGAAGTTTGTGGCAGCCAATCATATGACTCTAGCTGATGTGTCGTGTGTGGCGAGTGTGTCTTCTCTAAACGTACTATGTCCTGTCGATAGCAAGTATGTTCATCTCCTAAAATGGTGGGATACGTTGAAAGAGGAAGAGTGGTACAAAAAGGCAAATGAACCCGGATTGGCTAAGTTAGAAGCGTATGTTAAGTCGAAATGGAATAAGTAAAAGTGATTATTTCATTGAATATTTCGTTTTTTAATAAACTTTTTAAGTAATGTAAATCTGGTTCAATACATTTCATATTACTTGACTGTTTTAACTGTATAAGCATTATTTTTTTTGGCAATGTGTTCCTGCCATTATATTCCTAATTATCATCAACAGCCTATAAATGCCCACTGCTGAGCAGAGCCTCTTTTCACAGGGAGAAGGTTTGAGCATTAATCACCACGCTTGCTCAATGCGAGTTGGCGATTTCAAACGTATATTTAGAAATTATAAACCCAGATTTCCTCACGACGTTTTCTTTCACCGTTTGTCAATGGTGTCTAAATAATCTTAGAAAGTACATATAACTCGGAAAAAGTCACATTGGTATTTGCCGCTGGTACATTTCGAACCGGCACCCTCATTTATGAGAAGCGGGCGTCTTAAACCTCCGGGCTACCATGACATGCTCAATGCGGGTTGGCATTTATATTCAACCGTATTGAAATAAAAAATTACCAAGTTAACTTAAACAGTTAGTCAATTTCGCCATAACTTGGTGATACCAGAAAGTTTCTTAAGCACCAATCATCAACTCACCAATTAATAAACAATCTTCCAGAACACCAACCATCTAAACCCCATACTAATCGTGTTTGTTATTACAATAGAATAATATCTCCATCACTATGCAAGTAATAGGATATTAGTACTGTAACTGCCATCCACCGCACGCTTCCACTGCATTCACCAATAACAGAACTTAATTGAGGAAACTAGTTGAGAAGACGTAACCAGAAACTTTTCTATAAAGACATAATATCACAGCAATTATGAAGGAATGAAGCAAGATACATATATATACTCATTGTATCTTGTACCTTTATAATAGATATTTATTTACATAACCAACATCACGCCTTTTATCCCCGAAGAGGTAGAGGTGCACATTATGGCACTTAATGCCACTGTACAATGTAACACCAACTTTTCACTATTTTTGTTATAAGCCTATTCCTATATACCGAGCACAATTTCATGCTCCGTGCTACTACTAAGATTTTTTTTTTAAAACCCAGTAGTACCTACTTTTCCCAAGCCGCGAATCGAACCCGAGACCCATTGCCCGGCAATCGCACTTGCCAGTGGTCACTCGGGTCAACAAGGCACGCAGACTTAATTGCAACTACAATAAATAAAGACATGATCAAAATTAGTTCGAATCGGTTCAACCGTTCGCGAGTTTTAGCGAGACTAACGAACGATTTTTTTTAAATAGATTTTTATATTTCATGTTTTTTATACACAACAGATTTGAAACAACAATATGTCACATAACACAATGTATAAAACTATGTCGTCGGTGGTATTTCGGAACAGATACGATCTTCAAACTTTCAAGAAAAACGCGTATTCCTTTTCAAAAGTCCGGCAACGCACCTGTGACTCCTCTGGTGTTGCGGGTGTCCTTGGGCGGCGCTGATCGCTTACCATCAGGTGATCCGTACTCGTTTGTCTCCTATTCCATAAATAAATATTGATATGCCAGTATGTAAAACAATTACACAAATAAAAAAAAAAGTTGTATTATTCGATTTATTATCTAGTAGCAGATAAAGTTACATTAACCGCGGAACGATCCCAACTTAGCAACTCTTTAAAAGTACCTCACCAAACAAGTACAGCTTAAGCAATAACTTCATTTAATTAATCTCACAGCTCTCCCGCTAATAAGCGTAAACAACAGAGCTGGCCGAATTTAAGGCACCCCCCAATACCGGCCAGCGCGTATTTATAAAGGGAAAAGGGCCAAATCGTAATGATATACGCAGTAGATTTATCCCGGTCGGTCCGTTTGTCAATGTTCACGGCGAAATTAATTACGGATCGGTCATGGGTTCGAATCCCGTGCCACGTATTTGAATGGTCATTTGGGATGGAAGTAATTAAGATAAAATATTGTTTTATTTGTCGGATTTGTATTGGAGAATGGTTACCATTTTGCGGGCAAAGAGTTTTTGTGTCGTCCCATTTTTTTGGCCAATATTGTTGATTTAATTTACGAGTTATTGAAGGGGATTGACAAATTGATACGAGTTGTCAGATTACATTTATATCGATCTGGTGTTGCCAATGGCGTGCGGATCAATTAATTCAATGCTTAATTACTTTTAAATAGGATGTTTTATTTTATTGCTGGGCCTTGTTTTGGTTCATTAACTTGTATCTACACATTTAATGTATTCATAAATAAAATGGTTGCCTGTAAAGTCGTTTTTACGGGCGAAGATTTTACGTGACAACGTCTTTTTCTCGGTAGAATATTTATTGATATGAATATAATTAAATTGCACAATAGGAACAAGGAATTGAATGAACTAGTGCTGCGCGCGCGGCAGACCGATCATAGTTGAGTGGGAGAGAGACGCAAGGCATTCGGCGGGCCTCTCTCTCGTTCGGTGACTCATCGTAACGTTATCGAGCGTTACACTTTTTCATAAGTGACTCCCAGCCGCAACCTAATTTAAGACGTTGTCACGTCAAAAAGGCTACAGTAAAAAGGAATTATATTTCGTACTTACCAAAAAGTAATAACAACGAGTTCCACGTTTAAAATAAGGAAAATAACACCCCATATAATAAAACAATAAAAAAAATGCTTACAACGCTTTCCTTTTCCACTAAAAAACCCCCCGTACTAAAATAAAATGATTAAGTAACTTATTTTTGTTCATCCCCAAATTAGCATAAAGGCGACCATTACAAGTTTGGTAAAAAAATTAGTGATAAAAGTTGTAAAAACGGTGAAAGTCAATAAAAGGGATGTTTGTACCCTCGGCTGGCAGCCACCGGGGTATTTTCAGAAACACAACCCCTAAAGGGAAAATCCTCAGGGAAAATCTAGTTGTCTATAGGTAGGAACACCATGCTGTAATGTTTAAGAATACAGGAAGGGAAAATTTTTCATTATTTTAGGATATAGAGCAAAACATATTCATAATTAATTGCATTCTATCTCCTCTAGATAGAGGATGTAGGATTGTATAACTTCGGAAAAGTTTGGTGTTCTTCAAATTAAAAGAGTATCAAAACAACTTTTATTTTAGAAACCCATTTTACCTTTCGTGGAACACAACATAACTAAATTTTATCTGAATCAAAAAGTTTCTTCTAATCCCTGTACCAATGGTCACCCTACGTTAAAGTAACAAATATATCGTGGCACCTTTCTTTGTTTTTCGCACAAACTCGGCCGTTGGCCTGAGTTATCGTCGTCTTACCTTCGACATCCCCCCTCCCTCTCCTCAGAGGGTGTCTTACCCTCTCCCCCTCTGGTCATTTGTCATGGATGCAGTTATGTCTTATTGATTGTTATGATTTTAAGATGAGCCACTGTTTCGTGTGTGTCAAGGATTTTGTCAACTGGACATTGATTTTAAATTCAAGAATTGTGCAAAAAAACTAACTGTAACTCGATGAGGTTAAATGAAACTATTTAAGTGGTCGATCTAGACGTAGAGTACCTTTTCCGTTACATTTAATACTGACTGGACAGTGGTAAATCGGCATTCATTTTCTGACCACTGTCGTCAAACTACAATATCGTTTAGTACAAAACACTAGCATCCACCGCAAAACGTTATCTTTAGAAGAGCATAGTTTACCAGGAGTTGACCTTGGAGGACAACGCAGACTGGTTTCGATGGAAAAGTATGAACGTAAATCTTTAGGAAATACCGCCAACAACACCACGAGGTTTTCCCTCAAACAACAGCCAGCAAAAATTATAAACAGTACTTCCGTACTTGAGCGAACAAAACACAAATATGTTTGTCATAGTTAGCAGTGGGGGGGCGGCCAGAAATAATTACCTAATAAAGATTTCTGATACGCCAGTGTTACAAGGAAAAGCTATTTTCTGGTCGGTGGGCTGGTGAGGGGGGGAGGGGTGGGGAAAGGGCGGTGGCTGTCAGCGCCAGGAGTTTTGATGAACACACGTATTAATGTGCCAAGTGATTGTTCCCAACGTTGCTGCTGCGATTTCTTCGCAGTTCGTTTAAGTATTGTCGTTAGGCAATCGAGTAGTATACAGGTTACTTTTAGATATACCTCTAATTACATGCTATTTAATAACCTCTGGTTACTGAGCTAACTAAAAGCTTTGGTATTATTTTTTTTTATATTTGATGAGCCGACGTTTGTCCACTATTTCGCCTGGTGGTAACCGATGATGCGGTCTACGATGGAGCACGTCGACCCACAAGCAACCTATTCACTCGGGCCCTGAAGACTCCCTTCAGGAAATACAGTAAAACATTTAACTTTACTAAAACATACAGTTTAATATAGCAATAGTTCTTGTCTCTGAATTGACTAAATCTTACCAAATAACTTGGTTTATTTTGACGAGTAAAAGTGTTGCCTTGTAGCCTATTTGCAGAAATAAATTCACTTCTGTCACTCAATTCATAGAATAATTTCAGTTGACTATAAAGTAACACCAGTTGATTATATTATACTAGCTTTACACACACAGCGCCATCTATACCAATAATTTCGTTTTCCCTGGAGAATATCAATTTTCCTGGATAAAAAGTACCCTATTATTTAATCCAGACTTCTAACTTTACGTCTTCAAAAATTCAAAGCAATCGGTTTAGTAGTTACGGCGTGAAAGCGGAACAAACAAACAAACTCACTTTCCGATTTATAATATTAGTAAGGATTACTTTGTTAATCTCAATTCTCGGTTATGACCTTGAAATGTACGTGTTAAAACAATTTAGTCAAAATTACTTCGATGTAACAGTAAATAAAGCTCTTAACATCGATAGATTTAGAATATGACCTTAATTGGAAGACTATGGGCTGTACACTGTACAGTGGCAGATCAACCTACGCCGGTCTGTCAAAGCTTTTCATTGGAGTTTCAACTTCATGCCAAAATGATAAGGTTGAAAACTCAATAAAGACAGGCGTCTGTACTATCAGTTTGAACTTCATATACTTTCAATGAAATCGTACTTATAGCCTATAGGTATTTTGGAGATATTAAGATTTCGAAAAGTACCAA